AATAATAATAATAATAATAATAATAATAATAATAATCCTGTTGTTTTGAAACCACAGAATTCTTTGAAACTGAGAAGTATTTATTACTCTTTTATGTCAGGAGTTAATAATCTGTCGCAAAGAAAACCTTCTCAATACAAAAGTACTAACAGTTTGTAAAAAGAACTCTTGCCCGTTACGAGATACATAAAGTATTCTAATAGTGAAAGTTGAATTCGAGCATGTGTGAAAGAGATCTAGCGCAACACGCGTGTAAGGGTAACTAAAACTGTTGCCGTCTGATTTTTAAAATGGAATCGTATGAAGTGTCTACATGGGACACTAAGAATTCACTTAGCAAGCTGTGTCGGCTGAATAAGGCTTGTGGCAATAAACTTCAAAAGTTTCTACCGAAACAGGTAATGAAACGCATGCCCCTGAGCCGATCAGCTGTCTTGCCTCTTTGATGGTTGCCCGAGTTATTTTGGCCTATTTTGTTTGTTGACATCATCATAGGATTCTCGATTTTACAAGTACACATTCACATTAACTCTGAATTGCAAAATAAACTTCTTACATACAGTACAGTGACTCCCATGAGTCCATGTTCTTCGTTTTTTAGAATCTGATCCCTTTTATTTTACTACTAAGGCCTAAGGCTTAGGTCGGCAGAGGCAAAAGATCTTGTCAAGAGAAAGAGGTGGGTGGGGCAGATGAGGTGGGTGGGGCAGAGGCAGAGGAGGTGTGGGGTGACAAGTGAATAGATCTAGATCTAGTAGGGGCAGGGGACCCTATGAAGGTGCCGCTGGGTTTCAGTTTGTCACTTGTGAGGACAACGTCAAGGTTGTCGTTTGTACGGAAACAGCCATGACTTTGTGCATCCCCTCATGGCTGTTTCCAGCCGAGCTGCTGTTGTCCAGGCCTGGCCTTCTTCAGGATGCCGGCGAGCATCCTCAATGTGACGGATTCCATTGCGTCAGTCACAAACTTCCTCAATCTCTTGCCACGCTGGCTTGATGGCCCCAAAAACGTCTGGTCCAGAGGCTGTGTCGGGTGGCTGGTGTGGACCATGAGACAATATACAGTGGAGTCCACTTATAACGAGTCCGGAAAAAACGAGAAGTCTGTTATAAAGGCACTATTCTAAAACCCCGTTTTTTTCTCCTCTTTACCTTTGTAAATAAAATACTGCTATAGCGCTTTCAGACAAACATGCGAGTCGGTTATAGCGGAATATATTGCTGCTGCAGTGCACAGTGGCATATAGGCCAATTACACATAATGCAAAACCTCGCCAGTTCAGAAACTTGTTGGTGATCTTGCGAAACAAAGAATAGGAGAGCCCATGTGCGTCAACAATGAAGGCTGGAGCAGCTGAGGAGGGAGGGTGTGGCATGCTCAGACAAGCAGAACGCATTGCGTGATAGGCCAGCGTAAGCCTAGTTTAGATTATGAAGTGCCTACCAATACCATGCCTCTCACTCTCACTTCTCCTATGCGGGGATGGAGGGGTCACAGTAATGTGATGGATGGAGCGAATGTGTGACGTGCGCAAGCAGACAGAATGCACCACCGGGTGGGGTGGGGGAAAATACAGCGGGCGACTTAGCCTAGAGGCCTTTCTTTCTGATCGCCAACGCCGAGCTGTCAGTCCACATCGCTAGATCTAGCACTAGAGAAAGAAATCTGATTCGATTTTTGATCAAGTAAGACCTAGAGGTCATGTTGAAACAAAATCATCCTCAGGGGAGATAGCAAAAGAAAATAAACAACAACCAAACTCATGGATTAGGCCTACTTTACAGTTTCCCTTGAATTTATAACTGGATCCCTTATAGTTATAGCGAGAATCCTGCTATAGCAGACATTTTGCTCTGGTCCCCTCCCTCTCGTTATAACAGGATTCCACTGTATTCCCTGTTTTCACTGCAGAGGTCTAAAACACCAAGCGAGGCATGGTTGGAATGGCCATCGACAAACAAAATGACAGGCCTCTTCATGCCCTCTCTCTCTCTGTGAGGGATGAAAATATCCCTCAGAAAACTGAAGGAAAACACCCTTGGTTATCCATCCATTGTCACTCTTGTTGTAGAACGTTTACTTCAAAGCCCTCAAGAGCATGGTGGATGCCTTTTGTAGGGAAAGATGAGAGAGGCGGAAGGTACCGCCCATTTGCAGAGATGCAGGCAAGGGTGGTGACCCACCGCACCAAACCCGCCTTACCAGACACTATGCTGGCACTGCGCTACTACCCCAACCCATTCCCTCAGAGAGGCTGAGCGGCTCCATGCTTTGCTTGCACTGATGCTACATGCACAGCACACTGCTGTGTATGTAGTACAAGTATACACATCTTCATAAAATGCATTGACAGCCTTACAACTGCAGGTCGATACACTGTTAGAATACGTAATCAGCAATCTTGGAAATAACTTCTCTTTGTGTCAGCAACCTCAGCGACCTGCCAAGAATCTCGTGCCACAGGAAAGGATGCTGCCAGATGTTGATAAATGCGGGAACACTGTTCTAGCATGTCTTTAAATTGGTTCATACCATATCTGTCTTCCCCGGTCAATATCAGTGGTAAGATGCAGTGTGCTATTATCAGCTACGAGGCTGGTGTAAGGCAAAAAAGTGACTTTCCATGAAAGTTTTGTTTTTTGGATCAATTGAAAGTTTGATGTCTTCTGCTTCATGATAAAAGATAAAAATTAACGACTCCTATAATCTACTATAAATGTCAAGTCTCTATCTCAGTTCTAAGACCCCCATTTCTATGGAACCATGTTGCTCAACTTGGTATGCCATTTTCTCCTTTTCGTGTTTCCTCAACTTGCACAATTAAAAGTTCTGTATGTTCGTCAGATATGGTCATATTTAAATTTACTTCATTCTTGTTTTAAATTGTAGGGAAAAGGTGATAGTTTTTGAAAATAATGTCAACTCAGTTTCTAAATTTCCTTCATATATGACTGATATTGACCGGCAGGGACACACATATATATATGCTTGTCGCGCTGGCCCCCCCCTGTCGCGCGGCCCCGTCTCTACTCTTAAGTGTTTTACGGTGCTCGCAATTGCATAAGGTCATAGCCTATGACATGAGCGCGCAGGAAACATAAAAAATTTTCAGTTGGTAGGATTTCTAGAATTTTGCGCAGGCGGCGGCCAAAGCCTACTCTTTATCGATTTTAGACCCCTTGCGCTCGGGATCTCTGAGATTTTTTGCCCTTGCCCGAGAAGGCTAGATGTAGATCTTTCCTACCAGAAGATCAGAGGTTTAGCTGAAAGACAGCAGTACGAAGGATTTGCAGCTCCGCAATTTAATTTACAGAAGTTAGGCAGAAGACCTTAGAATTCTCTGAGAAGAGAAGATACTTCAAAACATAGAGGTTAATCAATAATTAGGCCCGAGGACTGACAAGTATTGGGTAAAAACAAACAAAAAACTATATCTGCAGGGTCCTTGACACCTAAACATAGCCTATATTATATATATATTACATAATATATAAAGCCTAACTTTTGATCTGGCAGAAATACTAACAAATTTGAATTTCCTGTAAAGTTCAGTTAGAGATCTGCATATATATTATATATCACTTTTTGTGTTACTCCTTTATCCCCTGCCCATGGCAGTTGTGCAAGACAGATCTAGATGAGTGAAAACTACCCATAGTTTGTCTCTTGTCTCTACTCTACTAGTCTACTGCCATTCAAAATGAAGATGGCAATAAATGTTATTACATTATACCGCCAACCCCACTCTATCTCTCCAACTTTATGCTCATCTCAAGACAAGCGATGCATTGGGGTTTGACTGTGATCATAGTAGTCTGCAGTAATGGTCTGTTGTTTATGGTGGTCATATATTATAAGTACTTACAAGTAGTTTTGTGGATGAAATGGCGGGTGGAGTGGGGATGTGTATTGTGTTGTTAGGTTGCTATGTTTTACTTTGAGTCCCAGAATCTGTGGAGTGTGTCTGACCCATGATGATACTGAAATGGTAAAATCCATCTAAAATGTCTTAACTTCGCCAAAGCCTTACTTATTGTGAAATGTTTTATTGTAAAATATTACATTTTCCTTTTTTGAATGATAAGTTTTTAGGAGCTAGTCCATATGATCACATTTCATAAATCAAAAGTGGGTCTATCATTTCACAGAAATAAGAATAGTTCATGAGATGCTGAGCTATACGTCTGGAAAGGAATTGAATGTCACTTGAATTATTGACACCAATTAAACAAATATTTGATTGAAAAATCTGGTTTCTCCAGATGACAGTTCTGGGTCTCAGTTTCATTGGGTTTTAGTCAATAGACAAAGATCATATATATATATAATATATGCAGGCACACATAAATCTCACATATGCTCTCAAAAGCACATGCATACGCACACATGTGCACACACACATACCACACAACATACACTCATACACACACCCACACACACATCTTGGTTTTCTGATGCTTTGATCCACCCACCCACTGCCACTGCACATCATTCCTTTAAAACAAATTTTGTTGTTTATTCTCCTTTGTCTGCTGTTTGACTGCCACTTCTCTTCTCTTTGTATATGCAATGTTCTGTTTTTTTAATTCTTTTTGTTGTCTTTGATGAAGGAGCTCTTTTATGCTCATTTTTCCTTCTCTCCATCTTCCTCATCTTTGTAAATGTCACAATATTCTATGATTGCATTTCATCCATTTTGCAAAGTTTGTAATAATTATGTTAGTTAAATAAACATAGGATGATCATATTTATTTAATAACGTTACTACCAACTTTTCTGACCTTTATTTTCAGATATGGTCCAAAAGTGACAGGGAGGATGTGCTTGAAGCTCTGGCAGAGCTGTTTTTGTCTGGGGATGCAGTTGTGGATGTGTCCAATGTGTTTGAACCTATTGTTTTGGAAATAGCATCCAGGTCAAAACAGCGCGTTCTCAAAAATGGCTGCAGTGGGAGAAAGGATTTGCAAAAATTTGCTTTTGTTCTAAGCAAAGTTATTTCTACCAGCTTAGAGTTGCGGAGGTAAGCAGTGTTTTGAGGAAAGAAAATTGTAAAGATGGAACAACTTCTTAAATGTGAGCTTTTTCAGATTTTCTTAGTATAGACTGAATTTTGTGGATGCAAAGTGTAAAGGACCTGGTATGCTCACTGTAAAAACCCTTCTTTGTTTCATTTGAAGTAATTAATTATCTGTGTGAAGAATCTGAGAGCTGTGATGTTCTTATAGCTTGCATTTTTGGTTTTGAAGACTCTTGAGTTTTTCTGTCTTTATCATCCTAAGTCTTGTTTTCCCATATCTCAGTGTTTTAAAAATTTTCTCTAGTTTGGGATTGTAACACGTTTTTATGGATTAAATACTATATTGGATGTTCCTAACATTTCCAATGCACATATTTCTTTAGGATTATTCAGGTATTTCCTCTTTTGTTTGCTGTTTAAAACGTGTAAAGCATTACTTGGACTTCCCTCCATTATTTTAGAAACAAAATTATCAATTCATTATCACAAAATGTTTAAGATGTCAAATCTCCTACTTTGTATTGTCTTTTTTTTTTCTTCTTCTAGGTTTGCCGTAGGGTTTCTGAGGCAGCATAAACCGTTCAGCCACAATGTATCTGAGAGTACAGAGCCTGTCCAGAAAAAAGCCAGGCACCGTCAGGTATGCTCTGATTGAGAGTCTTATGCAGCTAGTGGTGTGAAAAATCTCCTCTTTTCAACTAGTGTAGTTGTATCAGAAAGTAGTTTGCTGTATAAAAAGTTTGATTTCCCTCATGTTGTTAACTGTTAACCCTGTTAGCCTTTGAGTGTGTGCCTTTTGAGATAGTACCATATTAAAAAAAAATTAGGTCTTGAAAAGTTGTTAATGTCCATAACTGACCATCAAAATTGTCTATTTAGTTACAGATACTGATGAAAAAGTCTTTAGTAATATAATCTCTGGCTGTGCATATCTGTTTTATTAAACTATTGCCTTAATGAAGCTGTTCAATTCATACATACTGTTCCTAAAAAGAAAATGTCCAATGCAATGTCTACAGAGTTTGAGAAACTGGATCGTAATTTGGCATGCTGATGATTGATGATGGGTAAGCATTGCCATTGAGAATAATAATAATCGCCTGTTCAATTTCGTTCTCATGTCTTTTTAAAGATTTCTGACCTGGACTGGTGCTGTGGGATGTGGAGTTACCTGACATTTCTTCCTGAAGTAGCAGACTGTTTGGACATTCCCAGTTTACTCAACCACATGTCCCACAAGGACTGTGCAGTCAGATGGTAAGTAGCTAAGATTTTTTGCTCACTAGTTTGATGATGCCTCTAACAATTCTTTCTCGTAAACAGGGTGTTAATAGATAAACTCACCTCATTATTATTATTATTTTATGAAACATTTTAATGCGAAATGTTCTGCTGATGTCATGAATATGTAGGATCAGGATGATCCCCCTTTTGTTTGTATTGTAACAATAATAAAGAAAACTTCCTGTTGACAGAGGGAAGAAGAACGAACCACGCTCTGCTACCATTTTTATTTATTATGTCGAACACCCACCAAACAACACAGGGTTCCCGCTCAACCAGGAAAACAGGAAAAAGCCAGGATTTCCATTTTCTGATTTCCTTTTTCGGAATACGCCATGAAAATGAATGAAAACGTAATCCTGGAGTAGTTTGTTTCATAATTGAAGAAGCTTTTTTTTCTATTGAGGTTTGCTGCCTGTCTGCTGGGATTCTAATATGCCCAGGTTGGTTCTGACAGCCAGGCTTGAAGCAGCGTGCCTCTTTAATGATCTAAATTGTATAGATATGGGCCTGGAATATTTACATTTGCCATTTTGTTGTTGTGTTGTAGGTATGCTGCTGCTGCTGTCAGTAAGCATGTTGGCTTGTCGGAAGCAGAGACAGATGCGCTGTTCCGGAACATTTTCAAGGAGGAGGAACTTCGGACTGTTGTTGTCAGGTCAGTTTCTTTTTTGTTTGTTTTTTTATTTTTAAAAACAGGATAGTAATTATAATTATTAATGGATTCGGGGAGGAAAGGGGGAGGGGGAAGGAGATTTGAACTATAGGCCTGGCCTGTATATTTTTATCTAACAGAAATGGACAATATAGTGATTAGAACTCAATGTAGAATCTCTGTCCCTGATGTTCTTACAGGGAACATGTAGCTTGGAAATAGTAAGTTTTTCAGCTTGGGAGTTAGAAATGCTGGACAACTTTTCAAGAGACCTGAATGTCATGCTTAGTTGGTGGATATCTTTAGAAAGAATGCTTTCTGTATAGATTTTTAAAGATGATGTGTACACATGCATTGGCCACTTGATTTTTGTGTGATATCATCTGGATTAATTTTGGCTAGTTTTTTGTGAAATGTTCACATTTGGTGATAATTTTATGGCCTCTTTCAAGGTGCAAACTTCATAGTCTCTGTTGTCTTAGCCAATAGAAAGTATCCTCAGAGAGGTAATCTAAGACCTTACATGTCACATAGAGCACATTTCCACTTGGTGAAAGTTATGATGTTCTCTATGTACCAACATGTTTGTATTAATTTTGGTAAAAATATTTAGTTGAGTGTAGCATGTGGATAGTTGAAGGGCACTTCTGTTTGGTCCTATTTCTTTTCTTTCTCTTTGTTCTTTCTGTCTGTCCATCTTGCATTTTCCTAGCACTGATTACTAAATGATGGCCATTTTTGTGTTGATGTGCTTCTCTAAACTCAAACAATAAATTGGGTAGAGCATACGATAAATAAAGGAACACCTTAAAACGTCAGTTCAATTCTCTATCGGAGTGGATGGTTGGCAGGTGCTCTGGTGTGGTTTACTACTTCTTTCCTATCAAATATTTATTGTTCTGACCTCTTCTCCTTCTTTTTTGTGTTTGTATATTCTCTTGTAACACCTCTAATCTTTGGCACTTTTTTTACCTTATTGTGTTGCAAATGCTGTAAAACTCATACTGAAAAAATGAACTATTTCAATTTCAGAATTGACAAGGACTTGCTGAAGCTAAGATCTCGCCACAGAACAAACTGCAGCTCGCTGACTGTAGGCACCCTCAAGACCTCCCAGGCCCACACGCTACAGGCTGTGACAGCACCGGACCTCAGTGCTGGGGTCGTCTGTGTCATGGGCATTTTGCTGCCCAAGCTGGACACAGGACAGAGGACCAGTGATGAGGTTCCTGCTTGAAAATTTTTTTGGGTTTTAATTGAATGTTTTTTATTTTTTTTTAGTTTATGAGTGGGCTTTTAGTCTGAGCTGATTTCGGACATCCTTCAACAGAGTTAGAAAGAGTCATATGATTGTCTGTTTTATTTTCTAGTCGAGGAGTATATTATTGTTACGCACGATTTTCTGATACGGTCTCCCATCAAGATAACTAACCCCCCGGGGCAGTGCCACTGACTATAGTGTCTTTAGGCCATTCCCAAAGGGGGGACATTTCTCGTTCAAGCACAGTAGAATTGTAAATGGGCTGATTCATGTCACGCTCATAACTGTGCCTGATCTACAACTGGGAACTGCTGCATTTTCTTTCCTAGTCCTTACTATTGTCATTTTCCTCTACTTCTTTTGTATGTTTGTCACTCTCTTGTGACTTGCTATTTCCGGGGTGCCTTGATAGTCGAAGCAGACTTTGTGCTGTTGAAGCTAGAGAGGTGAGCAGAATAAGTCTGGTTTCCTGTAAAGACTTCTCTGTTGACACCCACCCCTTGGCGCTCATATGACCTTATGCAGTTGCGAGCGCTGTAAAACCCTCTACTATATATATAAAATCTTAACTTATGCACTGGATCAAACTATTCATGGGGGGGGGGGGGGGGGGAATATTTACTTTTGCCCACCTCCATATATCAGTTCAATACGATTTTCTGTTACTATTTTGCGACCTCGGTGCTTTCTTGTCATATCTCCTTTTTTTTAACAGTGAAAATATTACTTCTTCTTAAGGTCACTCTTTGTTATGAACTTTTTTCACTGTTATTAAAAATGGAGATACGACAAAAAAGCACTGAGGTCGCGATTTATTGTCAAGAAGTTTTTTTTTTTTTCCAGTAATAATGTTAATTTGTATTTGTAATTTTTGCAATTTACAATATCCTGTGGAGAAGTATTATTTAGCAGTTGCAATTTTTGCAGTTACCAATTTCCCGTCCTCCCTCTGTTTCAGGCTCTGTGCGACCTGGTTCCCGTTGCTTCGACCCAGCACCACCTGCGGAGCCTGGCCCTGGCCGTGTCTGCTGGCTCCCCGGTGCTGCTGCAGGGCCCCGTCGGGTGTGGGAAGACGTCGCTCGTGGAACACCTGGCCGGGCTCACGGGGCGCCGAGGCGTGCCGCACTTGATCAAGATACAGCTCGGGGATCAGACTGACAGCAAGGTGAAGATTTGTTGTACATGGTTTTAACTCCGTGATCAACACAAGTTAGGTTATTTCGGAGGAAGTTATGTTATTCAGTCTTGGTGTGGCTGGGCTAGGATGTCCTATTTATTTGAGCCACATAGGCTGGGACTAAACTGCAGCCGAACACAATTTAGATTATTTTGGAGGAGGTTATTCAGTCTTAGTCTTTCAGGGCTAGGCTGTCTTATTTATTCATTTTAGTCCCATAAGTGGGGCACATATTGCAGTTGAACGTTCTCTAACGACAATCTGTCCCAAGACTACTACCTGTACAAGCAACCACACTTCCCCCTGGCTTAAAAAAAATATTCTAATGACACTGTCCAAGAGGACTACCTGTCTAAGATGACCACTTTGGTCCTTGAAAATGGGTGATCATCGCCGATAGGTTTTGACTGTATCTTCATTACCAGCATGGTCAGGTACAGCTGATTCACGCAGATTCCATGTTTTTAAAAATTTTATCTTTCCCATGGAAGATTTCATGTAACTGATTTGTTTATGAGAAGTTCTTGCTCTGCAAATTTAGTTGTTTGGAGGGCGCCACTTGTAGGTCGTACTTCTTTACTTTCCCTCTGTTATTTCTGTCTGTCTGTCTTACTCTTCCCCAGCACTAAATGACCACTATTGTGTCAATGTGCTTCTCTTTACTCAAACAAACAAAACAAATTTCCAAGCAAATAAAAAGATACATTTGTATGGTTTCTGTAGGCTTTACTTGGAACGTACTGCAGCACGGAGACTCCTGGAGAGTTTGTTTGGCGTCCCGGGGCCTTGACCCACGCTGTGACCTCAGGCAGCTGGGTGCTTCTGGAGGACGTGGACACAGCTCCCATGGACGTGATCTCGCTCCTGGTGGCGCTGGCAGAGACGGGTGCTCTCCCCTTGCCAGGCCACGGGGACGAAGTGCGTGCAGTCCCGGGCTTTCAGCTCTTTGTTACTCAGAGGTGAGGTTTTTTTTGTTTTACGTGATCTCTTTTAGAATCACGTTTTTACTGTTCGGAAAAGATGAAGAGCTAGTCTCTAGAAGTGGATTGTACTAGTTAGTATTTGGGCCTTTTTGATCAATGTTTTTGGTAGAAATGCTGTCAGTGGTTTGATTAATTTTATTAGTATTTTTTTCTCTTTTTTTTTTCACCTTCAGACTTATTCATATCACAGTCTCAAAGAAAACATCTTTGTTTTGTAAGGAAAAAGTACAGTTAAACCTGCTCTAACGGTCACCTCTAAGGCAATTACCTGTGCTAAAAAATCACTCATACAACCTCCCCCCCCCCCCCCCATCTTTTTATATTATGGCACCACCCAAAACATCCTCAGTCTAATACAAGGACTTTTCCCCTCGAAAAAAGGGGTGGCGGTCTGGGACAATTTTGATTGTACTCTGTACTCTGACCGGATAATATGATTTAAAAAAAAAAATTCCATTGGCAGGTTGCTGAGCTCTTCTGAGGGACTTCATCGGCAGCTGGGCAGCAAGTCGGCCTTACTGGAGAAGTTGTGTAGTGTGGTCAACGTGGAGCCTTTGTGCCGGACTGAGCTAGAGCAGGTGACAGTTTTACTATGGCTTCTCCCCTGGCGTTTGCTGTCGGTCTCTATTTTTGTTTTGTGTTTTCTGTTTACCTGCTGCTTCTCTTGCTGTGTGGTGGGTGGATGGTTGTTAGGTGCTGGTGTGGTGTGAACTGCTCTTTCTACTTCTTTTTTGAGTTACTGTTGTCTAGTTCTGTAGAAAGATGTGGCCGCTGTGTTCAGTTTTGTGAAGCACACATATCAGTTTTTTTTTCTACCTACTTTTGAATGGTTATCATCTTTTCATCTTACTCCTTCTCCTCTTCTGTCTCTTCTTCCTATCTTCTTCTGTCCCTGCTCCTTCTGTTGCGGTTTTTCTGAACCACTTATCCGCCTCCTACTCCCCTGTGGGAGTGGTTGATTGGTGCACATGTGTGGAGTGCTCTTACAACTTCTTTTCTGTGTTTCTGATGACTTATTTTCTGTTTTTCTGCGTTGTTCGTCTCCTAGCAAAAATTTTGCGTTTACAATACTTTATCGTTGTAAGCCTAAACTAACCATCAACAAGTGTGGCATATGTAAATTGTCATGACAGACATTTGAAGTTCAAATCAAACTCGGGACTGGCAATGAAGTAGGATTCCGAGAGTGTGTCTTTTGTCTTTCCTGTCTCAGGTGGTCACTTCCAAGTTCTCGGCCCTGAGCCCCATCGTTGACCGCCTGCTGGACATCTATTTCATGCTCTCGTCTGGCCAGCATGACTCGGAGGATGGGAACAGTGCAGGGTCTGTCGACAGGAAGCTCTTGTCACACGGGGGAAGGCTCATTTCTACAAGGTACATTCACTCTTAGTATACGGAAGGCTGTTCTTCCTTTGTCCATAACCAGTTTTATTATCAAGTTTTCAGAATCAGAAACTTCCCTATAATTCTCCTTCTTTTTACTTAGTTGCATAAAATAAATATCAAACTAAGCAGAAATTATGATTCAAGCAATGCACATAGTTCATGTGCAGTTTAATTATAGATAAGATGACTTGCTGGGGTTTCATAGGTTTTTGTTATGACTGAAATTAAACCGACAATTGCCTTTGTATGATAATTAATTTTTGTATTGTTTTTAGTTTTAAATGGAAAATTTCAAGAAATGCATCTGAAGTGATTTCTTTTTTTGTCTTTTATGTACTTCGTAGAACATGTCAGCGTTATCATTTCAGAGATTTGATGAACTGGTGCCGACGGTCAAGCGTAGACTTTGACCACAGAGAGTCGTCCCAGGGTCTGAAGGTGTTCCTGGAGGCTCTCGACTGTTTTGTGACCAGTCTTCCAAAATCTTCCACAAGACTCGCGGTTGCCACAGCCATTGGGACAAAACTTAATGTCACGGAGGAGAGGGTGAGGAAATTAATTTAGTTGTCTTCATTTGTGTCATGTTGTGTAGTCTGCTTGCTGCTGATGGAACAGAATATTGTATCTTTTAGCCTTGACTCTTTTCTGTTTACCTTTTAATATAATGAAGCTGAACAGTGGGTGGTTTGCAGGACTCTGGTGTGGTTTGCTCTTTCTTTCCTATCAAACAATTATCGTCCTGATCTCTCCTCCTCCTTCTTTTTTGTGTTTGTTACTCTCTTGTAACACCTCTAATCTTTGACACTTATGTAACCTTATTGTGTTGCAAGTGCTGTAAAACCTTACTAAAACTAAAAGAAGCTGAAGCGACCTTTTTATTTAGATATAGATTGAGAATAATTTTGGGTCTTTACTCAAGTTCAGTGAACTTAAAAACGATTTTCTTTCAATTTGAAAAAAAAGGGCCAGGTTAAGGGATTGTTGTACTGGATGACTTGTATGAAACGACTAAGGTTCTTTTACTGCGTGTCTTCATCTCCATACTCTTCCTTCCATTGGTCATTTGTTTACTAATTTGTAGTGCAACTGTTTCAATTTGGTTTATTTTTCTTTCAATCAGGCCAAATATTTTTGTTCTCAACACAAACCAAGTATAAGAGAGACACAGACGAGGCTGGAAATCGGCAGGTCTAAACTGAAGATTGAGACTCAGCACAAGGATATTACCACTAGGTAAGTGATGGAATCAACTTAAAGGCTCTGAACTTGTTGCTCTTTTTAGAAAAATAGATGGCAAAAGATGCAGAGGTAGACCCATTGTGACTTATTTAGAGGTCTTGAACTGATAGGACACAAGAAATTGCCAGGATCATAAAAGTATGTTAGTGCCACTGAGCAACGAGTGGCAAAACCATGATTGTCAATGTCAGTTTCAGATCTGGCTTTTGAAAGGGGAAAAATGACAGAAGTTATTCTCTGGGAAAGCCCTTGAAAGTGCTTATACCAGCTCCTCATGATAAAGCACAGCTAATCATAATGGCAACTATAGCATACGTTTACTTCTGTTTTTGGTGAAATTGTTATTTTAGGTGAATGATTGGGGGGAAAGGTTATGTTAGTTATAAGGGAGAGGATGTAGATGGTCTTTGTTTTGATATGTGTTAAAAATTATATACTCAAATGGATGACTTGAAATAAATATCATTAATTTGTTATATTTGTCGTCTTCTTTGTGGTGACATTTTGTCATGTTTAAGTCATCTCTTTGGGACTGAAATGTATGCACAAACAACTCGTCAGTTTTATCACTCAGCGATTTCAAACCTATGGGTTTTGTTCATTTCCACACTAAGTTAATGTTCATAAATAAGACGACATCTCTCTTTTGTTCCTGACGACAGTTATTTAGTGCTTCTTTGTTCCTACTAGCCAAGCACCTGTGTTTTCCTACACTCGAGCGGCCCTGGGCTTGCTGGAGAAAGTGGCGGTTTGTGTGCAGAAGAAAGAACCCATCTTGCTGACGGGAGAAACAGGCACCGGGAAGACGTCCACTGTCCAGTTCCTGGCTCACCATTTGGGTAAGAGACTCTCATTATTTTTTTTACTCTTGCCTGCTGATTGCTGTTCTGTGCATATCAACTGAGTTAACATTTCAGGGGTAGTCTAGCAGGGGAACTCAAAGGAGAAAGAAAAAAAAAAGTTTATATTCATGTGTCCAGCGGGGGTAAGTTTTATTTCTCCATCTTTTGTTGTAAGTTTTGTCTCTCCATCTTTTGTTGTTGTTGATTGCAAAGTAACGAAATTGCCTTTCATTTTTTAAGGCCTTTCTTTCTTTGTCTTTTTCCCACAGGCCATCGACTACACGTCATCAACTTGAACCAACAATCAGACAGCACAGATTTTCTTGGAGGGTATGTCTCACAATGTTCAATTTATTCTGTTCTAGTTTTATTTTCCTTTGTTTTCTACTGTGTAAATAATGACACCCTGAACTTTCTATGTGATTCTGTTCTTCGTTTTCTTAAACCTGTAAGTGCGTGACTTGGATCACTAGGATGTGGGCATATTTCTTGTAATCTAGAAAGGCTGATGCACCCGGGACTAACATCATTTCGTTAATTGAGGGACAGGAATAGGAGAAAAGTTAAGGGATTTGTGCTCTAACGGCCGCCTGTATAAGACTCTCACCAGTACAAACAGCCCCTTCCTCCCCCCCCCCCTCCCCGCTTTTTAAAACTATATAAATGATGCTGTGTAAGACGGCCACTTTTCTTCTTGACTGTGGGTTATTGTCTTAACCCTATCCATACATCCTGGGGTCATTTTGTACCCCCACGGTTGTATTCTTCACATTTTAGAATACTTCTAGTACGAAGATCTCTTTGAAACTTTCAGTATTTCTCAAAAAATTATTTTGACTGACTGCTATGCAAAGCGCACGGATCGGATTAACGACTAAGTTTCCTCTTTGAAAGTGGTGGCACAGAGTTCCCAATGTTGTATGGATATGATAGTAAACACGACATACAGATAGGGTTAAACAATTTCAGCTGCAGCTAAATTCATTGTTTCTTGGATTTAACATTTTTAACTGTTTCTAGTCAAAGAAATTACAATGGGTTTTTATCTTAAGTTCACCTGAGAATGTGAACTGATCCAGATATGTCAGTGTTTTATTTTTCTGT